CCCGCATAATTTCCTAAAAAATTGTAGCCATTCAAAAGACAGGCTTAATTGTTTATGAGGAAGAAAAGAATCATTTTCTGTTGAGAAACATGATGTTTGGACCAATTAAAGTACCACATTACAAGAGAGGAGATTTACTCCAAGATTTATAAAAGACATACATTTTTATTTAGTAAGGGCATTTTCCAGTAAAGGTAAAGTATCCAATCCTACCAACACGTTGCCTGATGCATCAGTCGACAGTCAACCATTTTCCAGTCACAATTTTCTTCAGAAGACTTAACTTACAGCTGGCATGGCAAACAGAAAACAAGATTACATAGTCTTCAACTACCATGTAACACAATGTGAAAGGTATCAAAATGCCAGGTGTAATACTAATGTGTTTAAATATTGATAAGTTTCTTCACAGAGAGAGAGCCAAGAGAAATTTTGAAAGGATCTTAGAGGCTAAAATTTTAAAGGAGAACTTGAATTTACAGTGCAGTGGGAAAAGTGAAAACAGAAAGAAGCTTTCCATGATAATGTTCTGTATATTCTTATGTATAACCCTTCACCCAACTCCTTGGATATCATTGTTAATTCTCTCCTCTAACTGCTACACATTTCCTTTTAAACAACTGTAGTTAAGAGAAATTGGTCACAGATCAAGAAAAGAACTAGTTATTAAGTTCTCCTTACCTGTTTGCTGGATAATGCACAAATATTAAAGGGAGAGGTTTCATGTTAATCACTTTGGTAGTCAAAGAGTTAACACAAACATGCACTGCACAAGAGCCAGTTTTCTGTTATCAGCCTGAATAAACTTTAACATTCCCATAGAAAAGAACCATTGCATAATGATAATAGTAAATCTGAAAAACAAATTTTAATGTTTTCCTCTGGCCAAGAGACAACCAACACAGAAAACGTGTTTCTCACACAAATCCGAGAGTCTGAATGTTTGGGTATGGGAGCTTATTTACATTGTGTGGCAAATAGTTTTCCTCATGATTTACTTGTTGCTCATTTATAAAATACTTCCCTATCTGACCAACTCTTCCTGACCTTGATATCTTTTATCCTGTTTATCTTAATTCTTATAAATCAGTTTTCTCTTATCATTCTTTGTGGCTCTTGTTGGGCCTTAGGTTTTCCACTCTCTTGTTCCAAGGGTCTTGTGCA